CAATGCTTCAAATTCTCTAGCCTCTTTCGAACCCTCAAGATATGAAACTTGCACACAGACATTACGTGGGTTACATCGACAGCCTGTGAACGTATATTTTAAGGATGTTCATCTATTTTCCATTAGTATTGCTGTAGTTCAATCAGACGAATTCTTCCATCGAATTTCACCCCATCAGATTCCCTCGACTTTTCACACTGGACGATTCTCAATGTCGAAATTGAAAGCAAATCGAAGAACGTCAATATGCCCATTGACATTGAATTTGCAACACTGGGATTTCATTGAAATTCTGTAATTGACTTTATGCCTGTATAAATCCTGAATAGATTGGACCGAGTCCAGCCTAAGTAAAGCTTTTTTTTTAATACATCTATAATATTCAGCAAAGCCTTAAGGCTGTCCCAAACATTTACATATGTGCATGTGGCTGATGTCCCAGGTGGTGATCATGCAGTCTACTTTTTTTTTTAAACACTTGAAAATGATTGTATAGGTTTTTAATTAATATGCTTTTTACTCGTTTATCATTTATCAGAAATAGTAAGTAAAAAAAAAAAAATAAAGATTTTCAGAAATATATATGAAAAATATTGTTTTCATAGAATTGAATCTACTTTTGTTAAGTAGATGCATATAATGAAGAATTCCCATGCATGCATATATAAATTCTCAGACAGAAAGAAATATAAGTCTGTATCCAACCTTCAAAATTAACTTGTTCTAACACTAAATTTTAACAGTTATAAGCCTAGACTTCAATTATCTTTTTAAAAATTTCAAACTATCTAAAGATCTTTCCTTTTAATTTTTTTTATAATGATTTGAGCCTTGAACAAAGTATAGCTCTCCAAATTTCATAGTATCAAATATCAGCTTATATGAAATCTCCTAGTGTTTGTTGGACTGTTAATAGTTCTACAGGCTAATTATAACTTAGCTTGGAGCCATCTTCTGACAATATTGACAGAGGTTATTTGGTGCAGATTTCAGAGAGGTGTTTGACCCTAAGTGACCTTTAACCTGCCTCTTGACCCTGGAAATTTATGGGCCTCTCTGATATGTGTATTCTGCATTACTGTCATTAACTATAATGGGACGTCAGGTTTTTAGTACCAGAATACATAATCCTGTCCAAGATGACCACTGAAAGTGCGTGCTGACCAATGTCAAAGAAGTGATCACCAAAGAGGGAAAAAATCCCGGAATGTGACAATTTTTGCTGTAGTCATAATCAAAATCTATTAACATATGAACCTGCTATTGTTTCCCTTAAATTATTACTTGTAGCTTCATTATGACTTGTATACTGGGAAAGTTTTATAACATGTAGGAATTTAAGCACACATATTTTGAATGCATTATACACTTTCCCTGCTTGCAACTGACTATTTTAATTTGCTGAATTCTTTTTTAGGAGATTTCATTTCTTTAATTAATCTATGTAAAAATTCAGATTGGAAAACATAATAAATATAAATTTGACCCAATATATGTGTCATGAATCTGTTTTAAATGACAAACATTGCTGTCAAAACTGTTCACAGTGGACCTTTGATCCTGTAAAGTTGCACTTATAATTTTTTTTCTCACCTCATCAAAATCATAAAACTAACGATGATGGTTTCAATGACCTTTTTTTTTTATATCTGTGATTATCTAGACAGGAACTAGGAAGATCAGCTGTGCTATTGATCTCAGAATTGCAAAATTTAGTTCAGGTGTTTTCAAAAAGACCATGCAAGGAAAAAGGATTGTCAAATACACTGTACATACTAAATTCGAAAATGGATCATTTCCTTTCATTACATAAAAAAAGATGTATACATACAATTGTAACTTAAAATCAAAAGAGCATATTGATAATATAATACATGTAATATTTAAATACCATAAAAATTAACATAAAATTGATGACTTTTATGGGTGAAAACAAGATAAATGCTACGTACGATTTTCTGCCTTACCTGTGTTATTCGATAGAATATTTGCCTCCCATTTCTGCTTTACATTTTACAATTTTTAACTGGACAATTTACTTCAATTTCATTTTTTTTATTACCAAGATAGATATATCTTTTCAAAGTGGGCTAATTGATGTGCAACTCTTCCTTCAATTTCAGAAAATGTCTTGACCTAGCCGAGAAACTGAATGAATTTATTAATCATAATGTCGACGTCTACATATGCATGTCGAGAAAAAAAAAGAAATTTCATCTGTATTATATATTGAATGAAAGCAGTACACACAGGCCAAGATGGAGTCTTAATTCAATGCAAATATCTTTTTATATGCTGAATTTAAAATAAGTTCTGTCCTACACAGTTACCGAATTAACATTTTTGCACACAGTTTGTTCTTTAACCCTTAAACAGGGAAGAGCTGGATACAAGATAGCCTAACTTTAAACTTTAGATCCCCCAAAATAAGTCCCCTTTTGAATTTTAACTACCCCATATATTAAAGAGCCTATCCTATTCAACAAAATACCAATTTTTTTCCCCTGATTACACACACTAAAGAAAAGGAAAACTTAATTAGCTGAGAAATTACTGACGTATTTTTGTCACGCGCTGTATTCTACCCTACGATATCTGCAAGGCATGTGATCCCCGTTTCTTTAGGAGGAAAAATACCTACAAATTGCTGTTAATTTTAACAAGCAAATTGCAGAGACGTGTGCTTGAAGATAAAATACAAGGTCTTTACAAAACATCAAACTCAAAAAAGAAAAATAAAGGAAAAGATATTAGCCACAGGGTTAAGGGACAGTGTTATGAAGATTATGGACATTTTAAGTTAAGAGTATTTTGATGAAAATACCCCACCTTTAAAAATATTTACAATGGGCATTTAGGTACGGTAAGCTTCTTAGCATACAAACTGTAAGAGCCAATTACGAAATGAGGGTTTACGTGGCTCATAACAAATCATTAAGGGCCGTAACAACTAAGTTTTTATAAGGATATTTCTATACACTTCTGAAGTTCTCATTCATTTAGTTTATCAATGTAAAAAATATTCCTGCTTTTTTGCAAGTCATTTTTATTGCACAGTTGTTTACACTTATATCTTTTTGTTTATTGCGTATTTGAAATATTTAAACATTTGACATACCCATTCAAATGCAATATCGGGGGTAAAAAAAAAAACTCTGTTTTTGTGAGGATATATGCACACTTTCGCAAGAGTACAAAAGATTGAATCATATATTTATCATATGTCGACCACCGAGGTAACCTCCTGACATTAGGAACTAATCCCAAGATCAAAATACACAAACTTTATGTTCAAAAAGCTAAACAAGCAACATGAAATGAAGCATAAGTTTTGATTTGTTTACGCTTTCACTAAAACAAAGACATACAAGAGAAGTTTTTTAAAATTGAGATCCACAAGAGTCATAAACATGTCTAAAGACACATCAATTTATCATGTATTTAAAACCCTTTATCAGGGGATAACACAGTCTTAGAGTCGTAAATCAGACAGTTACATATGTAAATCAGCTAATATTTTACCACTTCCATTTCAATAAAGATGTTCAAATGATTATTCGTATTGTAACAGTGCATTTTGTGCAATGCTAGAACATGGGTGGGCCTTATTTGAGAATTGTGCATCACTTTACAAAAAAAGCTGCATTCTTCTTTTTCTTTTCATTTTTTTTTTTTTTTTTTTTAAATTTTTATAGTTGTTGAATGTCTATGTAATTTAATGATTGATAATATTTTTGTTCTCCTTACTCCTTTTTCTAAAAAATTTGAGATCTATATATCCACAAAAATAATTAACACTCAGCAAATGCTTGAGATCATAAAGGGTTTTTTTTCTTTAAAGTTGCATTAAAAATTGCATCAACAAGTAAGATAGGAAAAAAAACAAATCTCTGTTGAACCATATTATGGTCGACATGCATCAGAAAAAATCTAAGGAGCGGAAATAGTCAATCCAGCAACTTCCCAGGGAAAAACTGTGTAAGAAGGGAGATCTTATGCACGGAGCAATACTCAGGAAAACGCCACAACTTATCTGTAGTGGGTCTCGTCCTGTTACCTCACCTCAGATGCATTTAAATCACGCAGAAAAGTAAAAATCGCTGACAAGTTTACATACATCTCTCTGTGTGTAATAGGTTGCAATATGTAACATGATGAATAATAAAATTCTGAGTCATATTTATATTTTGTATGACTAAGTTAAGATTGTTTTTATATATTTCATGGAATTATTATGCAGATAATAGTAAGTAAAAGAATTTCATGGAAAAAAAAAATATATGACCGATTCTTTTGAATAATTCATAATTAATAACAAAAACCTACATCTATCCATCAAACAAATTAATCCGTTCTATATTACATAAACCATCAGAAGAAAAAAAATCCAGAAGCAATTAATTAAACAAAATAGAACATATATATTTAGAAACTTTCCATCTTTCTTTTTTTAAATATAATTTGCAGCTGTCAAAAATAAAAACGGGCATTAAAAAAGAAACCCCTCAAACTTCACTTGATCCACTCACCATTTGACAAAAAGATCGCCAAACAAACAGGTGAATACATCACTTGTTGGATCCATCCTCGGTCGCATGTAGGGACTGTAGGACTGAGGGGGTCCAGCCATGGGATGGTGATGACCAGCGGGGGGCATGTGTCCCCCATGATGGTGGGGTGGTGGGGGTCCATGAGGTCCCCCATAGTGCTGGGGGACATGATGGCCATTATATTCAGAAAACATTATGTCCATATACAGCGAGGTGGATTATTCGGCAAATATAATGTTTCAAATCAATCCAAAAACACAGTTCCAACTATATACTCACGTCAAAAAGTAAATAATAATAAAAACATCCACTTAAAGAGGTCACAAAGATTGCCTCTAACTTAATTTTTCTTCTATCTTAGATTGAAATCCATTAAAAAAAGTGTTCCAGCATTTCATATCCATTCATAAATAACTGTGTCACACCAAACTGTGAGCCTGTGCTGTAACAGCTTCACGTTTAACTGACCAGTCCACGGATATGAGTAAATATTTATGAATTGTTCAATAAACAGGTTCACACAACCCACGCGTGTGTGATTGCCGGCTAGTAGATTTAAATGTTACGGAATAACACTGCTGTATGTACTGCACTCAATACAACACTAAACCAGCAAAAGCACTTGATCAACTGGCTTAGTAAACAAACTGTGTCGCATAGTTCATCTGGTGCAAAATTCCCTCTCAGCCAATCAGTGACTAGCTTTTCTGACTAAGCCCCTCCCCTAAAGCCATTTTAGGACAGTGAAGGGAAGCAATTTACATACATTTCCATTATATTTTTTTTCTCCTCTATCAATTTTATCTTCAGGATGATGTGAAAGATAAGGAATATTTCAACAGAATCTTTCATCACTTCTCTTATGCAAGCAGCTTCAATATTTTTTTTTGCACAAATAAAAAAATATCATCTGAGGGATGCCCTGTTCAACAGAACCCAGCACTCACTCAAGGTAAGTATATGTACTTCTGTATTATTTAAACACATTTTGTTTCTATGTCCCCTGGCTGATATCCAGAAATTCTGGGTCCCTGGGGGGTCAATATACATCTATGATTACATATAAAAAGTCGCTGTGACATGTTATGATGCACATTTTTGCCATTTAAGTTGGCACGACCTCACCTCCCCTTTTAATAGTTATATGGGAAAAAACTGAGTGGGTTTATCAGAACAAAATATCAAATGTTATGTAATATTTTTGTCAGCAACAAAATCCATTCCCACCCCACAAAAAATGGCCCACAGCAATCTGCATCAAATGTGCATAACAATAGTTTTCCTTGTGCAAGAGTTTGATTTATACTGCAGTTGGCTGACTTCTTATAAATACCAAATCATGTGTAATATATCAACCATTTGTAAGATAATTGAGCTTGTAATCAAACACCTCTGACTGCTTCAATTTCTGTTAAAAAAAAATGGTGACAAAAAATAGTGGCAAATTTATTTTATGTTGCTTGTGAAAAATTGTTCCACTAAACCTCTTTCAAGATACAAAACTGGACCCCCATCCCCCTTTCAAGAATGATGTATACTTTAAATGTAAAAAAAAATAATTTTATGCTAAACAGCTATTCGATCATTGAGAAAAGCCATAGAGAGAGACATTTTAGCTGTTAGGAACTGATAAATGTTTTGATGCCAGTTCATTGTCACTTTTGCAGTACACTGATATTTATAGTCCAATACAATCACTACAGTTCATCAGATACAAATTCATTTTTCTTGTCTACATGCACTCCGTGATTGTGTCATTTATAGTCATATAACAAGAGAAATATCATGCTGCATTCCTTTAGAAAATCTACCCATATAGAATTCAGCAAACTTTTATTATGAATCACTTTTTATATCCCAGTGCTATTTAACAAGGGTCATGATTCCATTTCAGTGCAACTTGCTTTCAATAGAGCTACAAATATGGATACTATTCTATAATCTTTGCTAAATTTAATGACTGCATCCTGACAACTTGACGTCTCATATAATGTGTTTCCTGTGCAGCGTATATTCTGGGGTCAGTAGAACTTAATTTACTACATGATAAATTTGACAGTTTAAACAGAAGTCAAACTTGTAATTCCTGGGGACATCACTTATCTTATCCATACAAGAATTTAGTTCTATGGCATGAGATGGTAGGAAAACATAACTTTCTTATAACCACGATTTCTATTTATAAAGGTTCATTATAAGCAAGTTTGACTGTATAAACACAAATCTTAATACAATTGATTGACTGTATATTGTTTAATGTCCCTCTCAAGAATTTTTCCCTCATACAGAGACGTTACCACTTGCCGGTGGAGAGATGCAAATTTTACCCTATACTCGGCACTTAGGACGAGTCTCCACGTCCCATAGTGGGATTCATACCCGTGATGTAAGAATTGACTCCTTACTTTTATAAGTGGGTGTTCATCTTTATACAAGTTTGACTGATAACACATTATATCTAATAAAATGTATGATTGATTTTAATAGATTATATATCAGTTTAGAAAATGTCCCTCTCAATGATTAATAAATTACAAAGAAAAAGCAAAGAATTAAAATTTCAACATTATTCCTGAATATTCAAAAACCTGAAAATAATATTCTTGTATTTACATTAGGCAGTAAAGAACAACTTAACATTGAATTTATATTTAAACAATTTGCTTGTGTTATATAAAATGCCAGCCTTCAATGAGCAAATATCATGAAGGCAAATTTCAAACAAACAGCAGTTGCAGACAAAGGTTTTCATTAATCTTAAAGCAGGCAAGAGAAGCCTACTAAATTTTCTGCAGCAGGCTAGATAATTAATCCCAAGGGATTAATTGTACCTCTCTCATTGACACTAAAGTTACAATAAGAACTTTTTCAGTATTAATGATATGGTTTTTATACAACTACATTAAAAATTAAAAACATTCTTGAATTAATATATTTAAAAAAAAAAAAAAGGAAAAAAGTGAAAAAAAAGTACCCTGGTAAATCAAAAAATCTTCTTTAATCTATTTCTTTTTTTAGGATTCAATGAAATCATAACTATCAAACAAAAATAAATAATAAAAATTTATATTTAAATCCACATTTCAGAGTGTTCATAGCATCCCAAATTGATTTAACTTCAAAACAAACTTCATTTGCAGACAGAGGTGGTAATTAATCTCAATGTGACAGATAAAGATAATGCTCTGGATTTTCTTCAGGAGGAAAGCTAATTAATCCCATGGGACTCCTAGTAGCATTCAGTTTAATGAATGGGAACATCTCAGCAGTTATCTCTCTTTGCAGCTTATATAAAGTGGAATCTACCCCACCACCCCAGCTCCAAACCAAGGGACATAAGAACCAAGCATCAAAATATGTATTTTTCTTTATACAAATTGATGTGAATTGATGCCTCAATTATATGCAGCTAATAAAATGTCATTTGCTTCCTGCCTTCATGTCTCCTGTCTTGTTAAAAACATATTTTAATAGATTTTTCTTGAGGTCAATAAACTTAAAGAATCAGTTGAAATAAGGTTGCTTATGGTAGTAGTATATGGCAGCCCTGTTGTTCTTGAAAATAAGGTCTGAAAAGTCATGTTTTCTATACATTTTGATTTAAAATTCTGACCCTGGGTTGTTGCCATTCCAGACTGTACAAATGGCCAATGCACATGGTTTTAGTAACTTATTCATAATAGGAAAGATGGAGATGCTTGCATATTAATATGATGAATAATTATGACCCTGTTATTCTTGATGATAATGGTAATGAATTATTAGACATGATGTTTGCTTTGAGAATATACCCCCCCCCCCCTTTTTGTTTTCTAAATTTGGAGATACTGTAAACCAACTTTTATTTGTGACTTTATTTCATGATTTAGCAGAGGTAAACAAGTTTGCACAATCAATTTTTGTGATCAAGCCTTTTTTTGATCTGTTGTTAATAGAAACAGAGACTTTAAGGATCGGTTCACTGTGAGAAATATTGGCGATGATGAGGCTCTCACGAAAATTTTTCACATGTGAATAAAAGTTGGTTTACAGTATATAAAATTTTTTTTGTTGAGCTGTAGATAGAGTCACTGTCATTAAAATGTGAAAAGAATGCATGAAGTGTTAAGAAATACAAGACTCAAAAGAATATTCTATTAATTAAAAATCAGAGTAGAGATATTTGTTTACAGCATATAAACAAGGAAGAAAAAAAAAACCCAATCCTCAATACTGAATAGATGAAACCTTAAAAACAAATGTCCTTGAGGCAGTGAATCCCTAACAAATATCAACTACATAAGTGCACACAATATAGGAAAAAAAAGTACAATAGTATCTGTCAGCTAGGTAGAGTACATATCAAGGATGGGATGTCTGAAGGTTATGATCTTTCATTTCCTCCCAGAAAAACACCATGAAAGACAGTGATAAAACCTAACTACAGATATGGAAGCTTCTGATTTTGTAATTAAATTCAGTTAGTTAATAAAACAGATTTTTTTCTCTTTCATCAGTTCGATTTTGATGCATTATGCTGACGTTCTTCTTCTGATCCTACAGACTTGCACTTCTGGTTTCACTTGCATTCTGAGTACTCGTTATATTCATCTAAAAGCTTATAGCCTCGGCATTTTATAAGAGTACACAGGTAATTTTTTATCAATAAATCAAGGAAAATCTGCGGAACCTTCTGGCACCACACTATTAATGAATTAATTATGGGATCAACAATAAATAGTCCAGGAATTAGTCAATGAATTTCATGAAAAAATAATAAACTTAATAAACTTCATTGCACACATTAACTTTTCTGTTTATATTTATTTAATCTTAAAAAATCACATTAAAAACACACAGACACATAAACAAAATATAAAAAGTATGAAAGAGAGAAAACAAAATAAGAAAGAAAAAAATAGGGCATCACAAAGCAGAGCATATACCCTCACAAGGATCAAGGCAGCATATGACCATTGATTCAGATGCAAATTACATCAATTCTGTTTCGCATTGAGGACAAACTTACCCCCACCCCACCCACTAAGTGCATTACTATATCCCCTCAAACTCTGTTGGGAAGGGATAAAAATGTCTATAAGACATGAATTCTCTGCTACTAGAGACACATTTGTATAAATGAAACCTCCCTTTTGATACAGCCGTGATCGATTCATCCCAACTAAATAAGCCTATTGTTTTAAGTTCATTATGTAATCCTTAGTTCTCTATATGATCTCTTAAGAATGTTTGGCTATAATGCTCTTACAGCTTGACAACCAGACAGACAGAAAGACAGGAAGATTGAAGATGGACATGACAAACACTGTTATGTTCTGGTCAGATTCATTTAAAGAGAAAGAGAGAGACATTTCTCCTCTGAAGGTCTGAATTGCGATTATTTTACTTTCTTAAATTCTGCTCTGTATTAGCAGTGAGGAGAGAAAAACTAAATATAAATTCTGTGGAAAGTTCATGTTTTGAACTCCATTAAACAATTATTTCTACCACAAGAGCTGCATAAAAATTCAGAAAGCAAAACTTAATCTATTGCATATTGACTCAAATATAAATTGACACAAAAATTTCCAGATTCACTACTTACATTTCTTTTTAGTCAAGTACTAAAACATTTATCCTTGATTAATCTTAATAGTTTGTGAAATTATCAATGAGAAAAGTAAAAAATTCTCTGAATCCCAATTTATTAGCCAAATCCAGAAAATATATGGCATGTATTATACATTTTCTGAAAAGCTTCATGAACATATTTGCAGATAATAGGTATACAGCACCTTGACTCTTAAAATGTAAAATATTATTTCTAGTACAATGTTATTAATAAATTTCTCTTGATAATACATATCATATATACATAGCCTTTAAAAACACATAGTTGAATCAAAGGGGAGTAATTCCAACTGTTTTCCAGTATCAAAATACTCTATGAACCCCAAAAGGAGATCCTGTGAT